GCCGGTTGACCTCCGGCAATGGACGATTCAGTAATCAAGGTTGTGGCCGTTTACACTATTTTTTTTCGATAGTCACCTTCATGCCTACAAACGCCATTTTTTGATGGATAACGCATTCCACAAAAAAGTTGGGGAATATGGCCGCTCACAGTGGTACACTCTCGCAATGGAAATGAACGATGCAGCTACCGACAACACACTTTGGCGGAGCATATGTGGAGGCGGAGCACATAAATTGTGTGGAGCCCTGGTGTGCTGCAAACTAACCGACCTTCGGCCACGCAAAGCCCGCAACTCGCCTCCTTTGGCCCCAGGTCGATTTGTAACCATTATGCAAAAATCACGTTAAATCGACCAACGTGGTCGGACTATATTCCCAGCAAAATCAAATGAAGGTCCGCCAACCCTAACGGACTCCTCTCAGACTGATGAAAACTCGGGTGGCTCCGTCTTTCGTATAGTCGGGCTAAATTCCATGTTTCTCATAGGACCGTGGGCACGAGATTGATTGAAGGAATTAGCCCGACTTGAAATATTGGCAATAGAGTTCAAATCCTATAGAAATGCCAAACGACATTACTTTCACATCTGCGTGATACCGCTTCACTATGAGGTTCAGAATTACTGGCATTAAGAAGAGCAGCAGAGAACCGCCTGGGAAAACGCCAGATGAAGCGCCAGGTGCTAGGCGTTCGGTTTCATGACAAGGCATAGCGAGAAATGACGAAAGTCGAGCCGTCGTCGCAAAGAATTTTGTCCATCTGATTTGTCTATCGAATCTAGACTTCGAAAATGAGCTTACTTGATTAACTTGGTGACAAAAGACTAATACGACGGGAACGGTGGTTCATGAATTGGGACCCATGTGGAGGTCAACTGGACAACTACTATGAAGGCGATGGGATGGTTGTCTTAGGACATTTACAGAGGTGAACTGGAGGAGTACGGCGGCAACTTTTGATTAATCAGGGAAGTGATCCAAAGCTTGTGAGAAATCGTGTGGTTTTTCCTGTTGCCTCAATATGAATGGCTCCAATAGCCCATTGTTCTGCATAATAACTGACTCACCAACATCCGTTTTACGTTTTCAATTGTGTCTCTGTCGAAATTGTTGCTTATCGAAGCCACCGTCTCCGCTCCTCGCTCTCCTATCGTTGCCACCGCTCCATCGATCTGTCGATGAAAGATAATATCGTCGGAATAGAATTGGAATTTTCGAAACTGAAAATCGATTCAAATTCTCTGCATACCTGATAGCTCAGCACATTGATTTGGCCTGATAACCTCTCTATCTGAAACACAACGCGATCGATAGAGGCATTCGATGAGCTCGTTGACGTGACTACTCCAAATGGATTCATCAAGCGAAGAAGTCCTTACTTGAGTTTAAAGGTGATATCCACCAAAAGGCTCCTAAAAGTTTTGCGCATTCCTTCAAACCATTACGGATAGAGTTATCAGATATCTATGGCTTGAGCCAGGATAAAGGATGAAGCCTTCAATCAATCGCTAATCGATCCTTTTTTGGATGCGCCGCTTATTTTATTTTCACTCAGATTCGTACTGGAATCTTGCTTGTAATTTGCTCTATGCAGTGACTGGCGGGGCCAATCGACTGAATGTGAAGGATGGAAGTATTGGTTGGCTTATGATAGCTTATAATCGAATTTGATCACTAAACCTTGTTAGTGATAAGGAAGGCCTTTTCCCACTACACTGCAACCCAATAAATTCTTGAGCAGAGGGTTCTGAGCAACTAGCTATCTATTACCTTCCACTGCGTTCATAAGGAGTCACGATGATCGGAGCGTTATGATACCGCCGCAAAAATGTCCAACAGAATACTAGTTGAAAACGAGATCAAGATGCAGAACGATATGAAAAGCCCTGAATTTTGTTGACCACCGACCGAGTGGTTACAAAATTTTATCGGATATGTTATCAGATCCCTCATTTCGTTTGAAATACCGTCCATAATTCGGCGATTATTTGATTGCTTTCGACAAAGCAATTGCTAGAACGAAATGCAAATTCATTCCCTGACTTCGAATGCGAGCAAACCTAGTACAGCGACAAAGGGCGCCATTTTCGTGCACAAGTATACAGGGTGGCGAAAAATTACGTGCGCCACGAAAAATATCCTGACTTTATTTTTTGTTCATGACAAAGAAAGACAACATTGTTGTGACTCTGCTTCCAGAGCACCTGAGCTTTCTTGGAGATTTTTTCATGATATATCTTCCCATTGATTTCCATAACTATCGATATAGAAGTTTCTAGCTGCTTAAATGGGAGAATTTTCATCAAACAAGAGGACTCTCCAGCTCCGCCTATCAAAAATGGCCACTTCGATACTTTTTTTACAATTATTGAATGTTAGAGTTTGATGTTTTGTTAAATTGATTCCTATCTTTTATATGGCGCACGTAACTTTTCGCCACCCTATAGAACCACATCTTCCCCTGTTTACGTCGGGTAAATGCCACTAAACTGCTTTGTTAGTAAAAGTGCGGATTTGCATGTCTCTTGGTCTCGCTCTGCAGATCTGGACAAAGGTACATAGGATTTTGAATAGGGCATTGCAAAATACTTCAATTGACCTATGGACTAGGCAAATTACCGTTTAGTCTATACTTTGCCGTACCAGCCCTCTTCCAGTTTCTGCCACATACGGCATCCAGTGAAGATCGTTCTACCAAGCTACCCTGACTTCCGTGATCGTGATTTATTGGTACAACGTCCAATTTAGGAGCTCGAAAATCAGGACAAATGGTATTGCTGTTTTTCATATACTGAAAACTCTTCCAGCACAATAGGCTCGTAGTGTACCCCATTCAATAGCAGCATAACGTATCAGTTCTTTCTTACCCACCTGGAAGTTATTTAATGTGGCATTGTCACCTTCAAGGCAAACGGTCCGTAATAATGCGAGCCTACGCGCACTCACAAAACGACAATCCCAACGGAACCAAGCACCCAGAAATTCGGAAAGTATAATACAAGGCTGATAAATGAAAAGCCCCAAAGAAAAAGTACGGAGAGGGCTTACCTCAAGTGAAGATGGCTGGACACAGATTAGTTAAGATGGAATATATCCCATGACGAACATGCATATAAGGGCTCCTGTACAGCTCTTCGGAACCGACTCGTTCACTGCCGGAGGTGTAGCAGGTGAGTCCGACTACGTCGGTGGCGATCGATCAGCGTGAGCACACGCTATCGCTGACTGTTTCGGCAAACAAATCGGATGTCGACGACTCTCTGACTCACACACTATCTCCCATTCCATCGGAGATCTTGCCGAGGCATCTGAAACGCTCGAGCTTCAGAATCCATTGGAGATCTGCTACAATTGGATCAGGTTGACCTCCACAAGAGAATTATCTAGCAAGAAGTTACCGCAGTCCCATATCTCAAGGGACAGTCCTATTGGGGCTAATCTGGTTAGTAAGGTGATAGGATGGCTCGGTCTCGGAAGTCTGGAACTCGAGGTGCAAGCAGGATCAACCGCTCGTTGCGCAAAGAACAACGAGGGGGTCGTATTTGCCAATGGAAGGGGAGGGGGTCGTAACCTCAAGTACCATTCACAAAATTAGAAGCTGCCAAGGCGTGGCTAAGTGGCAAAGGAGGACAGACTTTCAGCCACTGCGACTACGCACCACAGACGATTGAATGGCGCATCCTAGAGCGAGATTTCTTACTAAAATACGTCATGTTCCAGTGAGCACAAGCGAAAAATTCTTCCAGAGAAACTCCCATGCTTTTAGAACAAATCAAAGTGGAGGAAAGTGCAGCGAATTCGGCTGATTGACCTCTGGAGTACTAATAGAAACCTATGGCAGGAGAAAGGTTTTCCTTTCAAGATAATCTAGCATCTGCTATATAGTACTGATCTTCTGATTTCAGTGGTCTTTACCGCTTCTCAATGTACCGATTTGAAGAAACTTATGGCCATTTGAAGGTTGAAAAGTCGCGTTCCAAGAGGAATGGCCCAAAAAGCTCATTGAGGGACATCGGGACGACTCCACGACAGAGCGGTCACCTTGACATTTTTCAAAAGCGTCAATTCTCTGGTTCCTAATTAGCCTTGAAAATCTGCAAAAATTCAATAATGAAG